GTAGTAGTAGTAGTAGTCGTAGTAGTAGTAGTAGTTAGTAGTAGTAGTAGTAGTAGTAGTCGTAGTAGTAGTAGTAGTAGTAGTAGTAGTAGTCGTAGTCGTAGTCGTAGTCGTAGTCGTAGTAGTACTAGTCGTAGTCGTAGTAGTAGTAGTAGTAGTAGTAGTAGTAGTAGTAGTAGTAGTAGTAGTCGCAGTTTTAGTAGTCGTAGCCGTAGCAGTAGTTGTAGTCGTACCTACTGCTACGACGACGACTACTACTACTACTACATCTACTACTACTATTACTATTACCACTACTACTCATGTAAGTGTTGCCACGTTTACTGCTACTACGGCTATTTCTACCAGTACTGTCATTTTTTTTTAAAATATTACTATTATTACTACTGCTACTACGACTACTGCTGCGTCTACTCTTACTGCACCGACTACGACTACTACTGTTATTCCCACCACTACTGCGTACGTGCGTCCTCCTACTATTATCGCGATTGCTATTATAACTACTACTGCCACGACGACGGCTGCTACTATTATTACTACCATCACTACTTCTACCACTAGTACTGCTACGATTACGACTGCTACTTCTACGACTCCTACTACCTGTACCACTCTGGTCTGAACACGTACTACGATTGCTGCTAACAGTCTCACCTTTACTTCCACTACTGTTACTACTACTACTACTACTACTACTACTACTACTACTACTACTACTACTACTACTACTACCACTACTGCTTCCATTACTGCTGCTACTACGACCACTGCTGTCACCACCACGACCACTGCAACCTCTAGTACGACTACGACTAGTGCTTCCATAAACATTGTTTTCGTTACTTCGTTTACTAGTCGTATACCTACTACTACTACTACTACTACTACTACTACTACTACTACTACTACTACTACGACTACGACTACTACTACTACTACTACTACTACTATTACTACTACAGTTGCGTTTACTACAACTGATATAGTTATTGCTATCACCGCCATCACCACCACCACCACTACTACCTACTACTATTCCTACGACTACTTCACTATTGCTGCGGCTACTACTACTCTTACGACTACTGCTACTACTACTGTTACTGCTAATCGTCTTACTTTTACTTCCACTACTATTACTACTACTACCACTACTACTTCCATCATTGCTGCTCCTACGATCACTGCTGTCACCACCACGACCACTGCGACCTCTAGTACGGCTACGATTAGTGCTTCCATAAACATTGTATTCGTTACTTCGTTTACTAGTCGTATGCCTACTACTACTATTACTTTTACTACAGCTGCTATTGTTATTGCTTTCACCACCACCACCACTACTACCTCCTACAACTACTACTTCTAGTACTACTTCTTCTTCTTCTACTACTACTACTACTACTACTGCTACTACCTTGCTATTGCTGCAACTACTACTACTCTTACTGCTACTGCTACTACTGCCACCACCGCTACCACTACTACCACGTACTACTAGCACTGCCACTACCACTACCACTACTACTACCGCTACCACTACCACTACCACTATCGCTACCACTACCACTACCGCTATCACTACCACTACCACTACCACTACCACTACCACTACCACTACCACTGCCACTGCCACTACCACTGCCACTACTACAACTACCACCGCCACTGGCACTTTCATGGGCACCAGTCCTGCCTTTACCAATAGCGATGGTACGGGGACGATAACTAGCACTAGCCCTACCACTACCACTGACACTCCTCGCTTTGCCAGTACTAGTGGTAGTTGTATCCTTAGTGTCCGTGTGGGAAGGTGTGGCAGCAGCTGGAGGAGCGAGGAAAGGAGGACGAGGGAGGTCTGCCCCCCCCGCCCACTCGCCTTCGCTATGGCTGCCGGGTTTAACACGGCTTGTCCGTGCCCGCTCTCGCGATCGCGATCATTCCGCACGGCGTCTTGTCGGCCGTCTTTGCGCGTCTGCTGGGTGCTCGCAGCGTGCGATCCTCCTCCTCCTCCTTCTGCGGCCCGTGCACGTGCAGCCGCATGGCTCGCGGCTGCCGAGCGCCAGCTCGGAATCCAATCTCGCGATCGGCTTCGTGGCGCCGCGGTGAGACGATCCAAACACTCACGCGATGCGCGGTCCACGTGCATCTTTTTGAGCCAACTGATTCATTGCTGATGGGGTATCGAATTCCCCTGAGGCCCTTGGTGGTGGAATTGGGGATTTTGCGTTGGAGGGGGGCGGAAGGGGGAAGAATAGAGATTGATTGAAGGGCGGGGGGGCGTTGGAGGGGGACTGAGGGGGAGGAGGCGAGAACGGAGGGGGCAGGCAGGATGGGAGCAGTGACGGAGGGGGCGGGAGGAAACGCAAGTGGAGTGAAGGAAAGGTGTGGCAAGAGGAGTGGAAGGGAGCGAGGTGGGTGGGGGGGAACGGGGGTTGAGGATAGGAGTGTGGGGGGGGGGAGAGAAAGATCTGATAATGCATCCTCAAAATGCGCTCGGAGCGTTCCAGGACACTTTGGAACTGTCGCGGCGAGCAGCACATACTCTGTGCTCGCTTGCTATCGGAGGCTCCTTAGCTATTCGTGTCCGATCTGTTCGAACCCTGCGTTCGTGTGAGGGTGGAGGCGAGGCGGGGATCTCGTTTGCACGTGCCCAGAGTCCCCCTCTGTTTTCCGTCGGTGCCAGGCACGCTCTGGACCTCTGGGACGACTGGGTGCGCCTATCGGAGGAAGCAGTGCCAGTCACAGGCCGTGGGGGGACACACGAGAAGGGAGGCAGGGCGGGAGGGGGAGGAGGGGGCGCAGGAACGTAAGAGGACAACAGGGAGAGCAGAAGAAAACGATGATGATGTTGATTGTGCTGTTGTTGTTGCTGCTGCTGTTGTTGTGGTTGTTGTTGTTGATGATGATGAGGATGTTGATGACGACGTCGATGACAATGGTGATGCTGGTGAGGATGCTGATGACTAATGTGGAGGATGATGATGATGAGGATCAGGATGATGCTGATGATACTGATGATGATGCTGATGATGCTGATGATTTTGAGACTGACGATGCTGATGACGATGGCGATGCTGATGGTGACCCGGACGATGTATTCGGCTGCTGATGATGATGGTGATGATTATGATGACGACGTTAATATTGTTGATGATGACGATGATTCCGATTCAGATGATGATGCTGGTGGTGGTGGTGATGATGTTGATGATTGTAAGGTTGGTGATGTTGATGGTACTGATAATGCTGGTGACGATGATGGTGAGGCTAATCATGATGCTGATTATGACGATCATGTGTATGGCGATGATGCTGATGATGATGATGCTGCCGATGGTTATGATGCCGCTGCTGCTGCTGATGATGATGACTATGATGATTATGGTCGTGATGATGTCTGTGACCATGACGATGATGATGATGATGATGATGATGATGATGAGGATGAGGATGAGGATGAAGATGAGGATGAGTATGATGGTGATGATGATGATGATCATGATTCTGATGGTGAAGGTGGTGGTGGTGGGGATGATGGCGATTCTGATGAGGACTGGGGTGATGTGCATGTGTATGCCTATGTGTACGTCCATGTGTATGTTGATGATGGTGATGATGATGAGGATGAGGATGATGATTAGGACGATGAGGCTGAGACTGAGGATGCTGATAAGGATGATGCTGATGGTGATGCTGATGGTGATGCTATTGCTGCTGTCGATGATGCTGATGATGATAATGATGAGGGAGTTGGAGGAGGAGGAGGACGATGAGGAAGAGGAGGAGAGGGGTGAGGCTGACGAAGCTGACAATGATGATGCTGATGCTGATGCCGATGATGATGATGATGCTGATGATGATGATGATGCTGATGCTGATGCTGATGATGATGATGATGCCGATGATGATGATGATGATGATGATGATGATGATGATGATGATGCCGATGATGATGATGATGATGATGATGATGATGATGATGATGATGATGATGATGTGCGGTGATGATGATGATGATGATGATGATGATGATGATGATGAGGATGATGATCACGATCATGATCATGATCATGATCATGATCATGATTCAGCTGATTCTGCTGTTGCTGCTGATGAAGATGAAGCTGCTGCTGCTGCTGCTGCTGATGATGATGATGATGATGATGATGATGATGATGATGATGATGATGATGATGATGATGCTGATGATGCTGATGATGATGATGATGCTGATGATGCTGCTGCTGATGATGATGATGATGATGATGATGATGGTGGTGGTGGTGGTGGTGTGATGATGATGCTGATGATGATGATGATGATGATGATGATGATGATGATGATGATGATGATGATGATGATGATGATGATGATGATGATGATGATGATGATGATGAGGAGGAGGAGGAGGAGGAGGAGGAGGAGGAGGAGGAGGACGAGGAGGAGCGAATCAGGTGGAAGACATGAGACGCCCTGCCCCTCCATCATTTCCTCCATCCTCTCCTGCCTTCTTCCCTCCTTCCGTCTCTCCCTCGCCTCACCCGCCCTGACCTCTGCTTCTCCTTTCCCTCCACCTCCCCCCCCATTCCCCCCTGCCCCTCTGCCTCCGCCTCCGCCTCGAATTCCGCCTTCCGCCCTCGCCTCCAATTCCTCCTCAGCCGTCCATCTCCTCTTGTTCCTCCCTTGTCACCTCCCTCCCTCGCTTCTAGATCTTGAACAGAAGTTCTTCCTTGTCGAGGCTGCGGCCTCCACGCGATGCCCTCATGGGCACTGGCGAGCTACTCGGGCATCCGCTCTGCTTCGCTTCGCCCTCCCTTGCTCCGTTTCCGCAGACAGCCGCTTGGGGGCCCACCCGTGACCCAGGATCCCAGGGGTGACTGTCCGGGGGGCTGCCTGACTGGCCCCAGGCGGTCGAGCCAGCGGCCCGGCCGCCACGCCGACCGGTGGCGGCCCGCGTGGCGACGGGGCCGGCGCAGTTCCGGGCAGGCCCGGAGGACCCTGGGGAGGGGGGGGGGCAGCGGCTTTTCTTCGGAGGTTGCTCGGGCCTTCACCCCAGAAGTCAGTGAGGAAGTTGCCCTTGTTCGGTTCTCGGGTGGGCGTTGCGGCCTCACTTCTCGCGGGCCTTCGCGTGTTTGATCTGGTCTCGGGTCGTTTCAGCTAAAGGGTGTCTTGCTAAAGGGGTTCCTGTTCACCCCCGATATCTTCCTCGCTGTAGAGGAAGGGGGTTCTCATTGCAACGTGTCCCAGACCCTGGGGACTTCCCCTGGGCCAGCTCTCCAGCCTGTGTCGTTTTCTGACGGTCCTGGGGCCCGTGGAAGGCCCCCAGGGGTTTGAAAGCGGCGAACAGCTTCCAGGACCCCCCTTCTTCCGGGACCCGTGTCCTTCCTGCCACAGGGTGGCGGGTAATTGCCCTATTTCTCCACGCGTCGGGGGTCGCCTCTAATGCACAAGCGGCAGCCTCGCGCCACGTCGATGCGGCGCCGACCCTGGCGCGGGCGTTCGATGTTGAACGCCGCCAGTGGCCCGGAAGTTGCCGACATCGAACGATCGGCGCTGCCGTAGAGCCGCAACCGCTCAGCAACCACCGCGCAGGTCGTCACGACAGCAACCAGCCGTGCAGGGATCCCTGTCACGTCGCCCAGAATTGGAGCTTGGCACGGCCAGGCGGGTGTATCCACCGATCCTGGGCCCAGGGATGGCTTCGTCAGGATCGGTGTACGTGCATAGGTGGTGTTCCCTTTATTTGTTTCTCTCTCTTTCTCTCTCTCTCTCTCGTCTCTCACTCTCTCTCTCTCTCTCGTTTTTGTTTCATGCGCAAGTACTGCCGCCGCAGAATGCGACCCTGATTTTCGAAATTGTTCACGCCCGATGCGTTCGTGAGCCCTGGCCATCGCTCACAATTGCTCACAAGTGTTCACGCCAGGCGACACTGCCTCACTGTGTTCATCGGATCTGCTCGAGTTGTCATCACCACCACAACACTGGCCACATTTTCCTGAAATGGCGAACGCAAGCAAGTATTTCGGGTGGAAGGCTGGGGCAACCAGACATAATGTTCTGCGAAGCGAGCCGACGTCGAACGAACAGACCCCGTCCTTGGAAACACCGCCCCTCGAGATACAGCGAGAAGGCCCGGCCCAAAAGACAATGGGAAGGTCAAGCGGGGACCAGCGATGCCAGAGCTTGTTTGAATATTTGAAAGAGCGTGTTCTACCGCTGCTGGCGGAAAACCGGGGGGGGTCACTACCGGTTCGAACCCCTCCCCCCCCCCCTCTGGAAAACCGGGGGGGTCACCACCGGTTCGAACCCCCCCCCCCTTCATGAAAAGGGGGGGGGGTCACTACCGGTTCGAACCCCCCCCCCCCCTCGAAAACCGAGGGGTGGTGCGGACAGTGGTGGGGACGGTGGTGGTGGGGACAGTGGTGAGGGGACAGCGGGACAGTGGTGGGGACAGTGGGACAGTGGTGGGGACGGTAGTGGTGGGGACAATGGTGAGGACAATGGTGGGAACAGTGGGGACAGTGGGACAGTGGTGGGGACGGTGGTGGTGGGGACAGTGGTGTGGGGACAGTGGGAATGTGGTGGAAACAGTGGGACAGTGGAGGGTACAGTGGTGGGGGACAGTGGTGAAGGCGGTGGCGAGGACGGCGGTGGGACAATGGGACAGAGGTACAGTGGGGACAGTGGTGGGGACAGTGGGGACAGTGGTGGGAACAGTGGGACAGCTCAGTGGGACAGCGGAGGAGTCAGTGGGACAGTGGGGACAGTGGGGATAGTCGTGGAGAAAGTTGGGAGAGTGGAACCGTGGTGGGAACAGTGGTGGGGACAGTGGGGGACAGTGCGACAGTGGTGGTGGCACTGGTGGGGACAGTAGGGGCGGTGGTGGAACCAGTGGGGACAGTGGTGGTGAGGACAGTGGCGCTGGGAACAACAGTGGGGGATGTGGTGAGGACGGTGGTAGGGACCGGGAGTCGTTTGCTGGAGGTGAGAGGGGAGGTGGGGAGGGGTTCGAACCGGTACCCCCCCCCCTCCGGTTTTCGAGGGGGGGGAGGGGGGGTTCGAACCGGTAGTGACCCCCCCCCCCCGGGTTTTCGAGTCCGAGGGGAGGGGGGGGGGTTAGGGGACGGGGGGGGGTTTTGCCGGGGGAGGGGGAGGGGGGGGGAGGGGTTCCAGCAGGGGGGGGATTTTCGGGAGGGGGGGGGGGGGACCCCCGGGTTCCGGAGGAAATGGGCGGCAATTTTCCACAGTAAAGCGGCGGTGGATCACGCTCTCTCATAAAGAGAAACACGTATGTGATGGCCAGAGGCATCGAGCAGTGCCCGCAGGGGTAAGAACTTTTGACACCGCCGCGACGGGGCATGAGTGTCGCGCTCGGCCTTTGCGCGTTGGTCTCAGCGCGATCGCCTTTGTCCCTGTCCTATCCTCGTTTTGCCTTCTGCCTTCTGCCTGTTCTCTCCTCCTGCCTCTCGCCAAGCGCCCCTCTCTACTCCCAACTCCCACCCTCCTCCATCTTCCTGCCCCCTCCCGCATCGTTCTTTCATCCTTCACTTCCCCCCTCGTCGCCAGCGTGCCACTTCTGCGGGCACATCACTCACGATGGACGCTGGCGTAGTGCTGAGATGTGCAAGGCAGGCGCAGGATTCAAGTACCGCGCTTGGTGTATTGAGGACTCTCCTCCACTCGAGAAGTATGATCTGATAGCCTTGGTCGGTCGCAGATCACAGGAGTGCCCCGACATCCTTCCAATGCCTTGCCACAAATCCAGCTAACTCCCTTGTTGCTATGTGCAGGCCTGCCCATGCATGCTGGCCTCACCTTCATGTGGCTTTCATTTGCAGTTTGGATTCGGAGTGCTGCTGTAGATCTGTCCAGGTTCTCTTTTTGTGGGCCTCCCTCTCTAGGAACTTCAATCGTCTGCGAGCGTTTTGGCCACATTGCGCTCCGTGATGCACAGCCGTCATGCCTTCGTGGTCGTAGCCCTACTTCAACCAGGCAGCGCCATCGCGAGCATTCGGCACTGCACACGCCTTTCAATTGCTACATGCTTTCCTAGCTTGTACTGGTGAGCGCGGTGCCTCGGACACCACTGTCGCCCAAACCTACTTTTCAGTTAGGGGCGCTTTCCCGCCTGCTCACTCTCTGGGTCTGCCCCGTCGCCCCTCGGTCGACGCACATGCTTGTAGCCATTTTTGTTATTGTTGCCTGCGCGCAGACTGTCTTCGCTTTGTCGGGGCCACTCTCTGGTGCCCGCGTGATCGCTACTAGTGGCTTAGAGTTGACTGTCCGTCTATGCATTGAACAATTTTGTTTGCTTAGCATGCCCTTGGCAGGGGATGCATTTCTGCAGGTCGCCTGACACTCAACGCGCTGTCTCACGCCTCTCAGTCGCAAGTGCTGCGCTGTCCTTCTCTCACCTCCCGTGCCTTTCCTCCCGGCTGGGTTGGCGCACGCCCAGTTTGGCGCTCGAACCTCCCATGCCTACCTCCCAGGCTGCCCCCCTGAAGCTTTCGATCATGGCGACGGCCGTCACTCGCACTGGGTGTGGTGTCACGCCTGGGTCAGGGGCGCTTGCCCGCAGGTTTTGTTGCACACCGGTTTCGCCTCGTGGTTTCATATTTGTGCTGTTTCGCAGGCCGACGATGAGCATTCATTCCGTTATGATCCGATCCCCCTTTGTTCTCTTCCCTCCTCTGTGCACACCCTTTTCCCTCGCCTTCCCTCTCCTCGACCTCCACCGTCTCACCGCTTCAAGGCAACACTTCGCGGATCGAAATGGACGCCACACCGGAAGATGATTTTCTGCCATGCCAAATATTCATCAGGCCAGAACCCACGGGTGACCAGCAATACAACTCGTTGTGCATACACACACACGCGCGCGCACTCACACAAACACCCCCCCACCTCTCTCTCTCTCTCTCCCTCGCTCTCTCTCTCTCTCTCTCTCTCTCTCTCTCTCTCTCTATATATATATATTAAAATAAATCGGTAAGGAGCTTTGTGGGTTTGCGTGGGCCCCCGGCTCCTCGAGTCCCCTGGAGAGCCCGAAGGCGCCTGGAGGGCCCCGAAACGGCACTGGAGCTCCCCAGAAGAGCCCCGAGACGGCTCAAAGAGGCCCCGAGGGGACCAAAGACAGCCCCGAGATGGCCCAAGACCGCCCTCAGACGGCCTACGATGCTCCCAATGTGGCCCCATAGGCCACCAAGACGCCCCAGGACGGCTCCGAGGGGACACTCTCGAGATCGGGGGGCCCGAGAGGCCGAAATCGTAGATTTTCCGTGGGTTTCCTTTGGATTCTGAGATTCTCGCGCTCTCAACCGTCTGGACCTCCAGGATCGCCCCGAGACGGCCCAAGAGGAGCCCGAGAAAGCCCCAAGACAGCCCCCCAAGGGGGGCCCAAGAGGCCCCCTAGACGGCCCAATAGACCCCCATGCGGCCCTCAAGACAGCCCAACAAGCTCCCAAGAGGCCACCAAGACAGGCCAAGAGGGCCCCGAGCCTGCCCATGAGGGCCCCAAGACGGCCTTGATGCTGTCAAGACAGCCCAGAGGGCTTCACGCGCCCGAAAAGAGCCCCAGGACCCCCAAGAGGGCTTGAAGAGGCGAATATCATCGATTCCACGTTGGTCGTCGATCGCACACCGCAGCTTGCTGGCATTCGCGCGCCTGAAACAGAAGCGCGCGTCGGCAAGTCTCGAATCACGTAGCTCCGTGGATTTCACCCACGGGCCCACACTAGTATACATATATATATATATATATGTATATGTATATGTATATGTATATGTATATGTATATGTATATGTATATGTATATGTATATGTATATGTATATGTATATGTATATGTATATGCATATATGTATGTATGTATGTATGTATGTATGTATGTATGTATGTATGTATGTATGTATGTATGTATGTATGTGTATATATATATATATATATATATATATATATATGTAGGTCTGAGTAGGCCTCGGGCGGGCCCAGGACCA